TTGCTCTGCGCTTCCTCTTTCTGTGCTTTGGCGTCCGCCCTCCGAGAGGGGGGGGGTATACGGTCACGTTCGATATGGCCTCCACCCTGCCATGCGGAAAAAGGAGAAACTAGACAAGTACCCCCCTACGCTGCCTACCTTCTTTCTGAGGCGATTTAGGCTGCTAAGAGAGGACTAGATAGAGAGGGGGTGGGCAGCCGGGCGGGGGAGGTCCCGCCCCCCTCTCCTTGATGTGACCTGCCTGCTAAGGGACTAGGGTGGGCTTCGTCTTAGTAGGGGGAAGAACAAGAAGAAGCAACCAACAGGAGAAACTGGCAGCGAAAAGGCTCTCGCGGGAGAAGCTTGCGGGGGCGGGCAGGCGAGGCCCGATAATCATATGTTTTGACCTGCGGTCTGTCCACCAAACCAGAAGAGAGCTACGACGTTTCCAGGGACCCTCCCTGCCTAATTGAGGCCATGTGGCCGTCACGTAAAACGGGGGAACGCGTGTCTACCCGAGCGGGAAAAAGGAGGCGCCTGCGCCGTCCTCCTACCTATTGACGTTGGACAGGTGGATGGCGAAAAGACGGGAGACGATGGACGGGGGGGGGGGCGGGGGGAGTAAATACCGGCCCGTCCTCTTCCACCTGACTTGTTTGGGGGTTTGCTTTGGTCTATATCGAACCAAAATATTCCAAGGAAACATGGGGGGCAAGGAAAACGAAAACCACCCAAACTCTCCCCTGGTCCTGCTGCCCCCCCGAGTTTTGGTTGCCGGGAACAGCTGTGGGGGGGGGGGGGGGGGGACGGCAGGTGGCGGTCTCCAGACATTTAGAAGAACCAGTCTCAGATCTCCCAACCCCTCCCCGTCTCGGGGGACGGAATAGTTCGGTCGGGTGGTAGGCGGCATTGCGCCGCTGACCCCGCACCAACGCCTTGTGGTGAAGACGAGCTGGAAATAAATATGTATAGTGCTTCGTAGGTTTCTCAGAAGTGGGGACTTTCTCCATATAATAATGGAAGGGACCTATTGTTTCATGCGTGTGATCGGGGAATTTATTGGTCGTGGAATGCTCTCCAGCTTGATTCCCTTGGCGAGAGTGAATAGCAAGAGGTTAACATACAGGCCCTACGAAGCGACGAGCAAATCGTGTACTTGCAGGCGGGTTGTAGCTTGAACAATATTACCTGTAATAGCGGTTGATTTTAGCGCGCCGTCGGCTAGCGGGTCACAAATTCGCGCATAGCTCGGCGTGAGTTCGGTTCTATCGTGAGTTCGGTTCCATCGAGCGAACCCGCGGTACCTTTTGAACGTAGCTGCTGTAGTTCTTCGGAAAACTCCGTGCGCCGGGGTGGCACGTCCGCACGAACGCTTGATTGTTTTTCTGAGCGTACGGCGTGTTGTTCCATGTGCGACGTAGCCCCAGCACAATAAATACAACATCGCAGCCGGTTAAGCCGACACAGACGACGGCAGTAGTAGCCGGCAGTGCACCGAGTTTCTTTTATCGACGCGTCGTGTTTAGTATCGGGACTTCTTACTGTATCAACCGTGTGCGTGCATGATCCGTGTTTTGTTTTTGGAGGGTGATCTGGTATTAGTAGAGACACACTCTGGTGGCCAGAGGGCAGGTTGGGCACGAACTACAACCGGGGGGGGAGAGGTTGGGAGGCCGAGTTCGACCTTGAACCCATTTTTTCTCTACGCTTGCAGCCCGCCGTGTTGATTGCAATAACGCCACTATCCAAGATGCGGGATACCTTGCACGCTTTGGGCTGCAATCTCCCTACAACGTCCCCCCCCAGGTTGTAGTTGGTGCCCAAACCTACGCACAACCTGCCGGTGGCCACCCGTGCATGCTTGTACCTGGTACCACGCTATACTCTTCGGACAGTAACTTGCGTATGGCCGCCACCACCACCGTCGTTCCGGGATCAATCAATCAATGTTACTTACGGCAGAGCACCCATAAATAGGGCAATTTTTTTGTAAGACACGGAAGAACTTCCAGCAATTATCTCTGCTTTAAGAGGGGTAGAGCCGGGTAGATGCCCATCTCCCACCAATCACTCGTCGAGTTTGTAAGACATTTTTTGTAAGACAGAGATGGATAAATGATTGATTGGGCGATGTGGGCACGACGCTCTCGGCAGAATCACCGAAATCCTCTTGTACAGCAGCACCAAACACATACGTAAAAAACATACGAGACGACCAGCACAGCAGTATGCGGACTGCTGTAGGCCAAGGGCAGCCGAACGCACATATCATGGGAGGCGTTAGGTGTGACTCTTCTTGCAGCCCGTGCCTGCTGTCGGCAGCACAACAAGCGAGTGACGACGCAAGTCAATCCGCGGTCCGTCTGCATCATCACCCTCAACCTGCCGATCTTTGTAGCTTCCCGCACAGACGCATCCCCACAACAGAGAAAACGAGGCCTACACACTGCTGTAGGCCAACGCCGGCCAAAGGCACACATCATGGCTGGCGTCGGAAGCTATTTTTAGACCCCGAGGCCTACTGCTAGCAGCGTAAGCGAGGAAACATGCGAGTGCACACAAGTCAGATCTCTGTCTGTCTGCGGTCTCTTCGTCTGCAGGCCGATCTTTGCTTCCACAACAGACGCAACCCAGAAACAGAGACAAATGAGACGCACACAGCGCTGTAATCCAAGGGCGGCCAAATACACACGTCGTGGGAGGGGTCTGGGCCAATCTTTAGAACCCCCGTTGCCCTCTGCTAGTAGCGAAAGCGAAGAAAGCAAGTGTGCACCCATGCCCAGCAGCAGCAGCGGCAGCAACAGCACCAGCAGCAGCAGCAGCACTGCTGCCCCTGAGCTGATGATGATGAGAGCTAAACAGCGCTCCCATTCATCCTCTGACTGACTGGTGGTATCGGGTGAGGTGTGAGCGTGCGCACTGGTGACCTACGTTGTGGTGTATAGGCTCCATCCATATCTATGTATCTACGCTTGCTTTGATGTCTCTCTCCGACCCGTCTTTTCGCGCTTCGCGCGAAATAATTTAATTTCTTTTTGTTGGACCCCTAGACTATGTATGGGAGTGGAGCCTAACTTACCGTGATTGGAGGGATTATGCGCCAAGCAAGATACCGGAGGTAGGGGGGCGAACGAAGACACTTGTTCGTATGAGTATGGATGGGTGGATAAGCTCACGGGGGGCTATCTGAAGCATGCAACGCGCCTTTAGGGTCGTCAGTCACTCGTAATTTTATGTAAGCGGCAATACATCGACCGGTATAGGTGGCCCATACAGCGGACAATTCCGAAGTTTATGACTATGCTTGACAGAGACTACCAGGGAATGTTTCGCCTAAACGGTACACTCGAGAGTCTATACTTAACCAAGCACTGCAGGTGTTGTAGCCAAGGTCCGGCGGTGCATTACTGGGTGCGACAATATCTCTCCTTCGATGAAAATAAATGTGGCGTCGAACATGCATGTATCCACCCATCCATGCACAGCATATTATGGGATTGTGTGTACGTAGCAGCAGAAGCTGATGCCCACCGACGCTAATAGTCGGTGTGATAGCTCGTGGAGCTGTAGCAGCAGCAGAAGCACAGCAGCAGTACACTTCAGTGCAGAAGATGGAGAGATGTTGTACACACGGCGCTTATGTGGCCAACACAGACAGACAGATTGTACGTAGTCCAGGCAGTATGCCAGCAGCATCCAAGGTACGACAAGGACAGCTAAAGTACCCAGACAGTCCGATAGATCACAGAGAGAGATCCCAAAGAGTGAGGTCGTGCACCGAACGACAGAACGAGCTACAGACTACGTTAGAGCTCATATATTTAGATAAATAACACATACGTCATTCGTCTACATAAACAGTATAGTCTGAACATTGACTAAAACAGGAGATGCGTACCAGTAGGCATTTCCATAACACAGCAGTGCAGGCATGCCGTACATTACGTACATACATGCATTCATTCGTCTACTGTGCAAGTTGCACGTTTATTTACGTGTTCACTATACGCGTAGACCATGTAGACTGTATGTACGTACATTTTCGACCAGACAGACCAGAATTTACAAGATAGATCGATGCGTGCACAGCCCACTACTTCCACAACAACAAATCCATATTGTAAGGAAACGCCGCAAAGGATGGGCATCATACAACGGCCTGTGAACTCATTCAATTCCCCGGATCTACAATGATGCCACCCCGAACTTTCCTGTGGAAGAGATGAGTCGTCGTGTATTGTATGAACATGCGAAAGATAACACAGAGGTCGAAATGCTGCACGAGCTCGTATGCATGCATACGGTTGCATCACCGGTATCTACACACAGTACTGTAGGGTGATACACTGCCAGGATGTTCAGGGAGTTATGCATGTTGTCCAGCATTACAGCAGTCACACGTCCCGAAGTTTTAGTCAGTGCACGTCACACGTGTGTAACGTGTAACACGTCACGATATCGCCGACGGCGCGTGCGTATTGACCAGTCACAACGCTCCCCGCTCTCGGCGGGACTGTTACATACATGCGGGCTAAAAACGGACAGAGAGCCACAAAAGGACACAGGAACACGGCACACAGACACAGACACCGACCACAGCAGTGGTTCAGAAGGCTTGTCTTCGGAAACCACTCGGCCCGTACGCCCTACTGCGTTCCCTTTCTCCGCTACCTCCCGCGCGCTAAGCAGCTTCCGAGTGGTCAGTCAGCACTTCTCGAGTCTTTGTGCATGCTACGCACGGTACGCACTACAATCTCCCGAGTCGTTGCCTGCCCGACAGTTCACACGTGCAGAATGTCTACAGCAGCGCACGGCCCGGCTGCCGCCCAAGTCCTGCGCGACATAGAGGAGGCCCACACAGCCGCTTGCAACGCCGGCGTCGCGCATTACGCCGACCCCGCCACGGGGTACAAGGTGTTCACCCAGGCATCTCACGAAAAGCGGGGTTTCTGTTGCGGCAACGCCTGCAGGTATGGATATGTAGGAAGAGAGAAGTGATACAGGGGAGAGGGAGAGACATCGCCACTTGCGTCAAGATACTCGGAGGATCACGCGGCTTGCTTGCACGTGTATGCGGCCAGTCATGTGTGTCGAGCCGAGCCGCCGTGTGTACTGTACCGACTTCTTGCGAAAAGGCCTGTGGTGCGGTGGATTCGGCCACTTCAATCTTGATTGTCTATTGGTTTGATTTCGGCTTCTTCTACAAATAAGGCGGAGAGATGGCATCCCCTCCTCAGACCGATTTCAGAGCTCGATTGCTCCACAACCAAGATTGTCTGTGCCGTACCGTATACCGTACCGTGGTATTCCGTAAGAGGCGGAGAGATAGCACCCCCCCCCAAGACCGATTTCCAAAGCTCGATTGCTCCACAACCAAGATTGATGTGCCAACACCAATATCAATGGTGGTTTTCGACTAGGGCTTTTTGTAAACGTATCGGGGTCTTTCCACACCCCCACACCCCCTTGGCTGTGGAAAAGTAGAGCTTGGAAAGTCGGTCTAGAGGGGGTGCCTCATCTCCGTCTCCCACGGCGTTTTGAGTCTATTTTGATCGTTACTGTAGACTATCGATGCTGGCTGCTGTTCACAGCATGCATGCTGGCTGCTGTGCACAGGATGCACCATGCATGCTGGCTTTGGTTGCATGTTCTGTCCTACTATCTGTCCATGATACGCTGTAGAGGGGCAAAAGACTATCGATGCTGTCTACTGTTCACGGGATGCGCCATGCATGCTGGCTTTGGCTGCATGTTCTGTCCTACTATCTATCCATGATGTTCAAACGCTGCATAGGGGAAGGAGACGCACTATTCTCTCCTGCAGGGATAGGGCTCGTCCACTCCATGAACCTAACGGTTATCGCTTCGCCTGCTTTTTATCCGCGCAGGCACTGCCCGTTTGGACACTTGGAGGTTAACCCCGAGTGGCGGCTTGCTGGCAGCGTTCCCAAGGTGAGACAGGAGTACGCAGTGTTTGCCTACATGTTTCAATTTGTTGAAGAGGAAGTAGTTAGATTTGTTGCTGGGTGAAAATAAAACGACGGAAAACGATCGCGTCGCGTCACTTTTTTTTTTTTTTTCGCGTCTCTTTTTCGACAAATTCAAAGTTTCAGGTTGGCACTGGATGATGCTGGCGTCAGACGCTCGCTGCGCCTGCCTCAGTTCCCCCTCCTTAAGAGACCACGGCAGTTTCACACGACAACGCTTAAGAGTTGGAACGCTGATCCACTACCCTGGAGTGGACACACTCCTCTCGCACGAAAACTACGTACCCAGTGCGTTGGGTTGGCATGTTCGAATTGCGGCGCAACTCGCGACGCCGTGTTTAGAGGGCGAAACGGACAAAAGTGATCGCATCACATCCACCACCCAGATTTGAGGATGCTGTCCGCCGTGCCTGGCCCGGTTCCAATCTTCTCGTCAACTTCGTAAATATAAGGTAGCACGCGAGAACGAATGCACCGGAAACAGACGAGGCATGCTGTACGACCGTCGACGGGCCTACGTACGCGCCAAAACCACAAGGCGTGCCCGCCGTTGTTCGCGCCAACAATGATGCCGCACCCTCCCCCCTTCTGTCTCTCTTCTCATGACGCGATTTTGCCGCCGTCATCGCTCTTCTTTCTCTTCTTGACCTGCCGTGTCGATTTTGCCGCCGTCATCGCTCTTCTTTCTCTTCTTGACCTGCCGTGTCGATGGATCGATCGATCAGGCGGGCCTGCGCGACAAGCGTTTACCCGCCATTTTTCCACGCTAAAGATGAATCCGCGTTGCCCCCTCCCCCCCACCCCCCGATTACTTGCTGCTGTGGTCGTTCTTCTTTCGCTGCCTGCCTTTGGTATCGTTCGGTTTATCAGCTGGGCCTGCGGGTCTAGCATACCCGCCGTAAGTCACGCCAACTATGATATCGCCCCCCCCCCTCCCCCCGGTGTTTGCCATCGGGGTTTGGGTTTTCGTCGCTTGGCAACGACGTTGTAAAACAAGCCCCCCACTCGGTGTATGCCATCGGGATTGGGTTTTCGTCGCTTGGCAACGACGTTGTAAAACAAGCCAATTCACTTCGTGAACTCGGCAACCAGGTTACCGTTTTTTTTTTTTTTGACCTCGTTTTTTTTTTTTTTGGCGGTAACCATAATGGTGGTCGAGTAGATCATGTTGTGCGGGGTCGAGAACCCTCTCTCCGCGCAACGGGGGATGATCGCACCACGTTGTGTTAAAATGGTCAAGCTTCCTCGAGGCAGTTACACAGTGCTTACAACTGTCTCTGGAAGTGAAAGCACCAGAAAATAAATTAAGTAATACGTAGCTGTCATCCGTACGCAAGGAAGTAAGCACAAGATGCCGAATACCCTTAGCAGGATGCAGCTCACCCTTCATGCGACTCGCCAAATACCTCACGGCGCTTCGCGCTTGGTGATGTGAGAGCCTGGTCCGGTGAGAACCCGGCGTGCTCCGTCCCGGCTTTGTAGGGATGCGAGGTCAATGGTCAAACGACCACGGCATGCACGACTATGAGTACACCCCCCCCCCCCCCCCCCTCTCTCTCTCTTCCCCTGGGGGAATATTTGCTGCTGTCGCCATGCTTCTTTGGCTGTATGCCTGACCCTGCCTGCCTACCTTCGGTGTCGTTCGGTCGATTTTTTTATCAGACGGTGATGCTCGCCCAGCACCGCAAGCAGAGAAAGTCGAAGCTGACAGTCGGAGAGGGCTGGAAGGCGTTCACGGACGACGGGGGCGGGGAGCGGACGGTGCTGTTTTGGTCGGGCGGAAAGGACTCCTTCCTCACGCTGCGGGCCCTGCAGAAGAGGAAGAGGGAGGAGCGGGGGAGCGAACGAATAACGCTGCTGACGACTTTCGATGGCAAGACAGGAAAGATTCCTTTTCAGGACACAAAGGTGCGGGGGGGGGGTTACTCTGTCGGCGAATGGCGTTGTTGTTGTTGCTGTTGTTGTTGTTGTTGTTGCCGTTGTTCGTGTTCTTGTTCTTGTCTTGTTATTGTTATTGTTATTGTTCTTGTTCTTGTTGTTGTTCCTGCTATTGTTATTGTTGTTCTTGTATACAACTTCATTTTCCGAATCATTCCCATCTTTGTTTGACAGGAAATATTCCGTTGCAAGACACAACGGTGCAGGGGATGGGCGGGTGGGGTTCGTGAATGCTGTTGTTGTTGTTGTTGTCCACGCCAGATTCATTTTCGGAATCACTCCCATCTTGTTCGACCGCCAACATTCCGTTTCAGGACAAAAAAGGAAACCATCTCGTTGTGTTGCCCGGTGTTGATGTCGCAACACTTGGGGATTGGTGCTAGGAAGATCGATTGAGGGGGGGGGGTGATATCTTGCATTATATCACCTACGGTGGTAGTCGATCAGTAGGCCACCGAAACCACGTAACTTGCGTGTGCCGAAACGTCGTTTTAGCCGTAACAAACGTTACATTTTTTTTTTTTTTTCGTCCACGTCGCGCGCGCAAACACCATCAACATCAACATCCATCCAACACTGCTGTCGCTGAATGACGCTAATTTAGCAACCAACAGCAGCTACACAACACAGCAACAACTTCGACAGCACCCGATCAACACCGCTCTACAACCAATGAACGGACGACAGATCACCGACGTGCTGGAGCAAGCGCGGCACGAGGGCGTGGACCTCCTAGCGGTCCCCCTCGGAGGAGGTTCAGGGCCCTTCCCGGATGCCTATTCCGTGACGCTCAAGGTGAACCAAGGGAATACAATACAGTCGTGTTCCCGGTGTTAGCGGGTAGTTCGTTCCCTGTTTAGCGGAATCTCCTGAACAGCGGTCCCGAAATCTCGTGGCACGGATGCACCTCGGTACTCTACGTTAGTACATAGCCGCTGCCAATCCGGTTTAGCGGCGATGCCCTCAGTAGCGGTTACAACATTACAATTGCGTGACACTTTGTACCGGTGGTCTAGTTGGAACCCTCGAAACCTTTTAGAGGTCAGGTCGGGGGTTCGAATCCCGGCGTAAGCGAGCTTTTCTTGCAAAGTGCCTGGTGGATAGCGTTATTTAGTTCGTGTGTACACAGAGGGAAGAGAGTGCTGAACTCTACTCGCATTAAAATCGAAGGCAAAGTACCGCAGGAGGGGAAGGTAGAGAAGGGGCTCTCCTGTCTGGCCACGGGTTTGAGTAAACGGCACTAGTGCTGTGAGCGCTGATTTGAAGTGAAAGACAAAAAAAAAAAAATGGACCACTAAACCGGGACCACGACTGCTGTAGTACAAAACACAGGGCTCCGGGCGCGGGGGGACTACCGCAGCCCCCGCCCTTCGTTTGCTCCGCCGCTCTCCGTGTAAGGTGGACACGACAGTTAATGACAGGCGTGAAATGCTATACCAAGTGGGAAGCTCCTTCCTTCCGGGCCGTGGAAAGATGGGATTGTTTGCCGCAGACGTGGGTGGAAAGGGGCTCGCTTTCTCGCAGACTTCCACTTTGTGCTGTGTGTTTCGCTCCCGTACGTTTACGTCTGCTGCACAGCGGTCTCTCTCCCCAACACGAAAAAAACACCCTTCTAATTTTTCGTTCTCGCCGTTTTTCTTCCTTTCTTCTACCAGAAAGGCCGCCCTAAAGCCTCTCTGCCGCAAAAAGGGACTTGTTGCCTTCCGAGACATCCACTCCTAGCTTTCGCGCTTTTTGTTCTACATTTTGTATGATTTCGACCCCAAAACTTTCGCCAAAAGAACGTCCTTCTAATTTCATTCTCGTCGGGGGTTTTTTTATTCCTTTTTTTTATTATCGCGAACAGGCCGCGCTAAAACCTCTCCGCGTCAAGGCGCTCGCGTTCGGAGACCTCCACCTTCAGGAGCTCAAGTCCTGGCGACAAGACGTCTTCTCCGGTGCTTATCCTTGCGAGTTCCCGCTGTTCGAGGTACCGTACGAGGAGCTCCTCTCCAGGCTGTGGGAGGAGATAGCGGCCGGAGTTACCCTTAAGGTGAGCGGAGAGGGGGGGGGTGCTGTCGGGTACTGTTGCGTTAGGTCGGTCGTAGTCAAGTCTTTGCCAACGTCGGCGCATCAGTCCTGGGAGGAGGAGCACCGGGATACAGCTGGACGCACGAGGGGACACCACCACCATTATGTTCCTGGAGCTATTTATTGTGGTCGTCTTTCATTGCCAAGGTAGTAGGGAGAGTTCTCATTGAGAGGCGTTTTTCATGAAGGGGAGGGGGGGCTTGACCCTTCCGGCGGGAGGGGAGGCTAGTACCACTAGCCTGGGGGGGGGAGTACTCATGAAAGGGAGGGGGGGGGGCACTCTTCATACAGTGGAGTAATCGATCTTTGAAGATCGGTCCAAGGGGTGTGATATCTTGTGTCACCTAAGGAAATACCATGGTATAGGAAATCGGTCCAAGGGGTGTGGTATCATCCACTGTATAGGAAATCGGTCCAAGGGGTGTGATATCTTGTGTCACCTACGGTAGTACCATGGTATAGGAAATCGGTCCAAGGGGTGTGATATCTTGTGTCACCTACGGTAGTACCATGGTATAGGAAATCGGTCCAAGGGGTGTGATATCTTGTGTCACCCACGGCAATACCGTATAGGAAATCGGTTCAAGGGGTGTGATATCTTGTGTCACCCACGGCAATACCGTATAGGAAATCGGTTCAAGGGGTGTGATATCTTGTGTCACCCACGGCAATACCGTATAGGAAATCGGTTCAAGGGGTGTGATATCTTGTGTCACCCACGGCAATACCATATAAGAAATCGGTTCAAGGGGTGTGATATCTTGTGTCACCCACGGCAATACCATATAGGAAATCGGTCCAAGGGGTGTGATATCTTGTGTCACCTAAGGAAATACCATGGTATAGGAAATCGGTCCAAGGGGTGTGATATCTTGTGTCACCCACGGCAATACCATATAGGAAACCGGTTCTAGGGGTGTGATATCTTGTGCCACCCACGGTATGCGATCCATTAGTATGTCCGGCGGGTGACCACACCTCAACACCCTAGCAGCCGATCCATGTGGAGATATATCTGTGGACGTGAAGCCATCAATCGAGAGCATCAGTCGCTTTGACGTGTACAGAGTAGGTAAGCCATGAGAGCCACAGGGGTCTCCGTAGCTCCCCGATCACCAGATACCAGCCCCCAAGAGGCCCCGTGTATCACCCCGACTGCCGGGTATAGTAGCGGCAACGGTTTAAGAGAGGGTTGGCACAAGCCAACAGCACTTTTGTCAATCCGGTTTTCTCTTAAAACATGCCTCTTAAACCGTACCTCAAACACAATCAGGTGTCGTCGGTCAGCACAGAACACGAGAGCTCCGCAACTCCCGAATAGTCAAATGACACATACCCAACGCCCTGAGCCCCCCGTGTATCATACATACCGCCGGGCGTACCCCAAAAAACAATCAGGTGTCCTCCGTGAGCACCGACCACAAGGGCTTGGAAGGGATCAGCGTGGGCGACGTCTACTGCGAGGCATTTGTGAAACGGCTGCCCGATATCGTGGACGCCATGGGCGAGAACGGCGAGTTTCACACGCATGTTTACCACAATCGGGGAAAAGGGGACGGCGGGACCTGGAAAACGGAGGAGGAAGAAGAAGAAGAAGAAGAAGAAGAAGAAGAGGAGTCTTCTAGCGAATCGTAGTCTGAGGGCTAGGCCGTCAAGCGTATGATTGGTCTAAGAAGAAAAAGAAGTAGAGTGTTATAGCGAATCGTAGTCTGAGGGCTAGGCCGTCACGCGTATGATTGGTCTAAAAAGAAAAAGAAGAAATAGTGTTCTAGCGAATCGGAGCCCTGAGGGCGAGGGCCGAGGGCGAGGGATAGGCCTATGATTGGCTGAGGAAGAAGAAGAGTCTTTTTCGGCGAATCGGAGTCTGAGTGGAAGGGTTAGGCCGTAAGGGTTACGGTGGTGGATGTTAGACCGAGGAAGAAAGAAGACCCGTCTATCGAATCGGAGCCTCAGGGCTAGGGTTAGGCCTACCATATGTGACACAAGATAACACACTCCCAGGACCAATTTTCAAAGCTCGATGACGCCACGACGAAGAAGATGCGCAAATGAAACAATGCGTTTTCGGAAAGCTCTCGACGAGACAGCTTCAACGCTGCCGTTTTCGGCGCTGCGACTCTTTCTGCTGTTGAGAAATCGAGATTTGAACATAGATCCAGGGGGTGTGTTATCTTGTGTCATGTACGGTATGGTTGGCCGAGGAAGAAGAAGAGTGTTTTTGGCGCATCGGAGCCTGAGGGGAAGGGTTAGGCCGTTAGACCTCCATGGCGCACCTTAGGCCTCCCCGTGAAAAGGGTGTGGTATTCGTGTTGCTTTAGATATTGGTTGTGCTACGTGGGTAGTAGCGAGTACGTACATGTTTCGTCTTGTCGCTAGTATATGTTTCGTCTTTTCGTTACAGTACATGTTTCGTCTGGTCGTTGTCTCCTCTCTGTTTCGTCTGGCCGTAATCCCCTTTCTTTTTTTTCGTTCGGAGTGTCTCCGGGGAACTATTTAGTTCATCGTTCTTGAACCCACTTTTTTTTTTCGGTATTCGTTTGTTTCGGGACCGCGGCCGCGTGTTTGTTTGTGCCCTTCGTTTGCCCTGCCGGTGTGTTGTGTGATCTGGCAGGTTGATATGTACCTGCTTTTTTCTGACGAGGGATCCTCACTCTCCTGTATCTTGGTGGGAAAGCCACGCTGCTAGCCAGTGATCCGTTGGAAGCAAGCCGCTCTTGTCACGCAGCACACCACAGGAATTTGTCCGGTTTGTCTGGTCCTGAAGCAACGTGTTCGACACAAAATATCGCAGCCAGCCCGGGTGATGACCTATTATTGGCTTCTAAATCGATTGTTATATTGTGGGGGCCCGTGCGGCACCTGAACCTCATGCCGACCTGTTTAATACGTGCTGGGCTCATGTTGACCGGTAGTTACATTACCACCGAATGTGGTCTTAATTGTATGAAGGGGACAATACACGCACCAAATTAAGCGGTGGGAAGCTATGGTGTGAGCGATCGAAAATAAGCACTACTTGACTTGTTTGACATGACGTGCTGCTGCTGTAGTGTCCGTGGAAGTGGTGTTAGACTAGTTGGATTCGTTTTTCTTATTTTTGTTCGGAAGACATCCGGTCCATTGGAAAGACACATGCATGAGAAGCAAGGCCAAAACTACAGCGAACATAGATGCTGTTGGTTGGTGCCACTGTTGGTTTGGCACTCGGGGTTAGCAGTCTTATTGATAGTAGCAGGTGTGTCTCTTTCTACGTGGTGGCATTCTATTTTATAGGTGTGTGTGTGTGTCTCTTACTAAATACTACGTGTACACGGGGTAAGGTAAGTGTTAGGGTCGTCGTTATTTGGTGTTAGTCGTTTTTTCTCACCTACCTGTCTGGTCTGCTTTTTCTGTCTTGTCTGTTTTTTGGCTTGGCGTAACATTCGTGGTTCTAACGCCTCCGCTTCGCGTTGTCTTTTTTTTTTATGTCTCCAAAATTAAAAATGCGTTCCGGTCTGCCAAACGGGGTGTCATATTTTGCCGTTTTTCGTTTATTTTTATATTTTGAATGATCTGCCCCGGCTTTTCGAGCGGACACGGTCATAAATGATCACACGGACAGCGCTTGAAGAGAAGAGAAACACCATTCATTCTCTCCTGTGGGCCTTGAAGGTTTGGGGTGGCGCAGGCTTAGGCTCGGCTGACGTGGCCACGGACGGCGAGAGCTCGCGGCCTTCTTGCCGTTGCTTGAGTGGGCAACTAACCTTCATCAAAACAAAAAAAGGAAATTGACACAATAGGGCGGGAAATCTGTCCACACAACGTAAGTTACTTGAGTCAGAGAAGAGGAAACCTGGGATCGCGAACAACTGTGACACCCAGGTCAAAAAGCGAAACTGCGCAGCCAGAGTGGGGCGAAATTCGAATACCGCCGTATACGACACAAGATAACACACCTCCTTGACCGATTTTCAAAGCTCGATTTCTCAACAGCAGGAAGAGTCACAGCGCCGAAACCGGCGGCATTGAAGTCGCCTTGCCGAGAGCTCTCCGAAAATGTATCGCTTCGTTTATGCATCCTCTTCGTCGTGGAGTAATCGAGCTTTGAAAATCGGTCCAGGGTGTGTGTTATCTTGTGTCGACACGGTATCGGTTTCAGAACGTCCACCACAGAAAGTTGTAGGTGTCATCGAACAGCGAATTGATCAAACACTTGAAAAAAAAAATGTTTTGCTACTCAAAAACGAGTTGCAGAAAACCGAACTAACGAAAAACAGCATGACGCCAGCACCGGTGCACCAGGGTGACGCAATCTCGCCGCACATTAACGCGGGCAGTATCATGTACGTCGCGATTTGGCTGGCCTTAAAAAAAAAAAGCGGTGCACCTCACTCGCAGTTGACCAGATTTACCTCATCCACGCTGGCTCGCGAGTGACTAAGAGACCTATCCCACTGGCGATAATTAATAGGTCTGTAGTAGAGTGTTGAAGCCGCGCAAGACAAAATAAATACGGAGTACGATTTTAGGTTGATTTTTCGAATACATTCCCCCCTCTCCCTCTTGTTTTCATGTTCTGGACAGGGGGGAGGGCGTACTCTTATGTTTTGCACGCCTCAGCGGTTAGACCAGTAACCACACGAACTCGAGAGAACGGAGCATTTGCTCCCGCAGGACCGATCACCAAATGGCCAATCGTTCCTTCCGACATACTTTTTTGCCTGAGGCGGCTAAAACATTTCGACAGGGGGAGAGTGGCGCGGAGAAATATAATGGTGCGTGCAACAAAAGAACTTGATGGAGGTCGTCGTCCAAGCGCGTTTGTTTTTATTTTTTGGAGTCCGCGATCCCCCCCCCCCCCCTCAATCTAGGTCCAAAATGCGGTGCCTCCAACCCTCACGCACGCAAGAAACGGCAAGCGATATAACCCGATGGTTCGTACTCTCGAGAGTAGCGGGATAACATGTAGGTCGTGCGCTTGACTAGGTAATCAGAGGTAAGCTTGTCATAGCAGCAGCCTCGCTATTTAGTATGGTAGTGCAAGGCCCCTAACGACCATACAACCTTGCCCCAACACTTGTTCAAGAGAACTTCTTCCGCAACACGTACTCTCCCGCCAAAAAACTCAACATCAAACACGCCGCGAGTTGTACGCAAGGGAAACCCTAACCCATGAGTCACACTCTACCCCTACAAACCGTGAGTAGAAATGCCCATATTCCGTGAATCAGTTCGGCCATTCCGCCGGCCCCCGTGCAAGCTGTACCGTTAAAAAGACATGAGTCAGTCACGCCTTTCCGCCGCCGCCCCCCCGCCCCCCCCTACAAACCGTGCCGCAGAAGGAAACAACCCAATGATTCCGCCAGGCCTTTCCGCCACCGCCCCCCTCCCCCCGTACCGTGGAAAAACCCGTCACGCCGTCAGGCCTTTCCGCGGGTCTCCCTGTAGGCGGCGGTTGAGGACGACGAGGAGGAGGAAGACACCAGCAGCTGGTCGAAATTCTTCTGGAGGTTGGACCTAAGCGCCGCGCGGCTGCGCTGCACGTCGGTCCTCGCCTTCTGCATCTTGAGCCTCTCCATCTCCCTCACGATGTCCTCGTCGATTCCGGAGTCCCCGTCCTCGTAATAGTCGAACAGGTCGCCGTCATTCCTCCCGCCGCCGCCGCCGTTCGAGCCGCCGTTCGCGTCGTCAAGCATCGACAGCAGGCTGCCGGCGCTCTCCATGCCGCAGGAACCCGCGCGCTGGCGCGCCGCCGCCGTCGCCGTGGCTGCCTTCGCCTTGCTACCGCTAGCCTTTGGACGCTGCTGCTGCTGCTGCTGCTGCTGCTGCTGCTGCTGCTGCCCGTTGCTCTTGCTGCCACCGCCCTTGTTGCCCTGCTGCTGTGAGTGGCTTCTCCCTCCCGCCGTCTCCTGGTGACCGTTCGCTCGTTGACCGCCGTTGCTGCGCTCCTTAGCCTTGGCGGCCTTTGCTGCCTTCGCCGCCTTAGCCGCCGTCTTCGCTGCTTCCATCGCCGCCGCCGCTGCCGCCGCCGCCGCCGCCGCCTCGTCGTCCTCCTCCTGGCTCTTCTTGGCCGCCCTCGCCCGAGCCTTGCGCTCCCGCTTCTTCTTGGACTTAGTCTTGGCCTTCTTGTCGTGGCCGTCCACGAAACCGAGCTCCGACAGAGAGACACCGGTTCCGCCGCACATCGGGCAGGCGGGGTCCGCCGTTCTGCCGCACCCGGGACACGACGAGGACGCGGAAGGCCTCTTGTCCCCGCCTCTGCCGCCACCGTCCCCCCCGTTCTTGCAGCCCACCCCGCCGCACCCGCCCTCTATGTGCGTGCGGATGGCCTGCAGCACCAACGCGAAGAGGTACTGCTCGCCCTGGACCTGTGAGGAGGGGGGGCAGTAAATCATCGGGGGGGGGGGGGGGGGGGGGGGGGGGGT